CCCCCTCCCTTTCTCTCCTGCCATCTTGCAGGCCAGTGGAGCCAGACTGCAGGCGTTCAGGGAGTCACTGGACCTGCTGGGCAGCGGGTGACACAGATTTCCGGTGTGTGTGTTTGTGTCATGTGTGTGTGTGTGTGTATGTGTGTGTGATGGGGGGATTAGACTCCAAATCACTAGAAAAAGCCCTGAAGAGAGAAGGGGGGGGCTGCACATCCAAGAATTTGAAATTCCCCTTTTGTCTGGTTGATGCAGGAACAGCAGAGAGTGTTTCTCATTCAGGGGGAGCCTGTAGGAGCATGATGCTGCTGGAGCTCGCTGGTTTTCTCCATGAGTTGGCAGTGTCCTGCGTTGGCTGGCGTGCCGTGCTTTCTCTCTCCCTCTGCCTGACAAAACACACACACACACACACACACTCACACACACACACTCACACACACTGGCTGGGATGCGTGCACGCACACACAGAGCGACGTGCACGGTCCCTCTGCGATCCCCCCTGACTGAAGGCTCACAGGAAGTGCAGCCGTGGCCCAATTATAGCGTGACACCTCGGGCCGGCCGTTGCCATGGCTACGTCTTCCCTGCGGTCCCCTGGAGTGTGGCGCCGAGGAAGAAGGGTCTTATCACATCAGCCATCGTTACGGCAACAAGCACAAAAACCCACCCTGTAGCCTGGGTCCAGCTGGCTGTGGGTTTGCTTTAAAAATCTGTGCGTCTGCATGTGATCTGTGTGTGTGTGTGTGTGTGTGTGTGTGTGTGTGTGTGTGTCAGGTTTAGGTGTACCCGAGTGTGTGTGACTTGCCAAAGCAGCGTGTAGGTGTGTTTGTGTGTGCGCGTCTGTGGGGTTGCGATAAGGCTCTCAGCCACACCATTAGGTGACTCATAATCCACACACACACACACACACACACACACACACACGTGTGCGAGCAAAAAAACATGGCTGCAAACCGACACATACACCCAATTAAAAGCGAACACAGGTAAAGAGGCGCAGCACAAAGCGACAGACAAGTGCACAAGGCGAATTTCTTTTATTTGAAAAGGGCAAACAGAGCTATACAGTACAAGTTGCACATGAAATAATTTAGCCGAGGCTGAACTCATTCATTTCTTACTGATGCAGTGACGTCAGAACAACAGAAGCAGAACTCCTCGTTAGAAACAGAAACATTTTGACTCCTTTTTTTGTTGGTTTGTTTGTTTGTTTGAAGCACAATACATCCAAACTGGAAAGCAATGTAAAAAAGACATATGTTTTCCAGATATTTACAGTTTATTTACAGCATTTTTGTCGTCATCTAAATATTGACACGCATTGGTATCCTTCTTTTCTCTCTCTCTCTCTCTCTCTCTCCTCTCCGATTCTCTGATTGTCAAAAGAAAGGATGAAAACGAGTGTGGACATTCTTAGACGGAGCTGCAGCTCCTCGCTAAAACACCAGATTCTGGAGGTCTTTGTTGCCTCAGTCTGAGCTTGTTGACATGTTGTCCTGTGTGTGTTTGTTAGAACTACAGCTCCCCGAACAATCAGACAACCTGTTGCCGACCCATCAGATACTATCCATCCAAGGCCCCGTTGCTCCTCTCCTGTGCCAGGCCCAAAGTAAAGTCGGACCCCCTCAGATCAAACCCGGACACTCTGCTGTCGAAGCCGGGGCCCCCGGGCTTCCTCTTCAGCTCCTCGCACTTCCTGTATTTACAGATCTGGTGTCCACGCTTGCGGTTGCGGCAGCTGCTGCACTGTTCGCAGTTCGTCTGGCGGCGGCACGGCACGCACTCGCCGCACCGCTTCCTCTTCCTGCGCCCGCCGCTGCCCCCGCCCAGGGAGCCGGGGGAGTAGCCCTCGGCCACCAGCCCCTCCATGCCCTCGGCCCCCACGGCCGCGCTCCTCCAGTGGCCTCCCCCCATCTGAAAGCCTGCCAGCGGGAACAGAGCGGGGCTGAAGGGGAACCAAGCTCCCAGGAAGGGCTGGAAGTCGGAGCTGCAGCCGGAGGAGTCCTCCTCTTCCTCCTCGGGCCCCGACCCACCGCCCTCGCCGTCCCCCTTCCCGCCCTTGGCCTCGGCGGCCTCCCTCTGGGCCGGCTGGCTGCTCTGCGCGCCCAGGCTGGCCTGCTCCGTGGTGGTGGGGGTGAGCGCCAGCAGCCCGGCGCGCATCAGCAGCTCCGCGGCGTGGGCCAGGTGCAGCCCGCTGGGCGACTCCCACATGTCGGGCCAGGAGGGGGCTCGGCGGGGCTTGGTGGGGCCCGGCTGGGCGGCGCGCTGCTGGGCCGGGGACGGCTGGATCAGGCCCTTCACGTCCACGGCAGGAGAAGGGGTGGGGATGTAATGGGAGAGGCTGTAGGGGTGGCTGGAGCGCTTCAGGCTCGGTCTCAGAGGCTCGTTGGGGATTTTGGCGCTGCTGTGGGCCTGGTCTGGGGAGGAAGGGCCGGCCATGTCTACCGCAGTGGACATAGCAGAGGCTGGGAAGCGGTCTGTCCTTGTGTGCTTGTGTGCGTGGGAGAAGGGGATTGAGGCTGATGCGGGGCTGACAACTGTCCTGCTGATACTTCAGCCAAAATGGCAAGCCTTGGCCTGTGTCCCTATTCCCATTCTCTGCAGCAGCCTCAGAGTCCTGGAGAGCTACGAATGAACAGGGGATGAAGACAGGAAGGTTAAGAATAGAAATGTTGGAGACGAACACAGAAAGAGGGTAAATAGGGAGCAGAGGATACATTTTTGTTTTGTTTTTTTACCCCCAGCGGTGCCACAGACCGTGGAGAAACAGAGAGCAAGATAAAGCTCAAAATCTGTATTTAATAAACACTCATCTATGTCTGAGGAATTAAAACGATCAGAATAGAGGTGAACAGATCCGTGTATGTGACGGTGCACGCTTTGCCAAGGATTTCCGCATACGAGAGGCAGTATCCCTTTAAGAATTTCACGGTATATCAATGCAATCAATAACAGAGCGACAACAATATGCAAAGATATGCGCATATGCGCAGGTCAAATGTGGAGCGCGCTTTTCAAATACATTTTGACGACTGCTGTTATGTGTGCCAGCCAAAGCTTAAAGGCAGCTGAGAAGAAATAAAAAAGGCAGCGTTAAAAAAACACACACACACAGGCTGTCTTTTGTCTAGTATCGACGACGAGGAGCGAGGTGCGCAACGATGCGGTTGGTGTGGATCAGAAAAAAGGGACCAGGCTGTGTTCCGTGTCCACATTTATGGAAAAACTACTCGGCCGATTAGACACGGGAGATTTGCGTTATTACCATGTAAGACTTTGAGCCTTCCGGAGGGTCGATCGGGGGAGCCGGATTGATCGCTTTAGCCCGGTTTCGGGTTATCTAAAGAGGACGACGCTCGAGCGACGCCACGGCGAGCTGACCACAGTCCGAGCGGCCGCTGCGACACGGAGCTGCGCGCAGGAAAAGGGCGAGAAAAACAGGCCGGCCCAAAGGCGCAGGAAGCGTGGAGAAAAAGCAGCCAGCTCACCTTCCAAACGCGGCCCGGCCTCTCCTGTCAGACCTGCGGTGAAGTCATGGACCGAAAGGCGAGCCGACTGTGAGCCTGTACGGACCGCGGTGCTGCCGATTCCTCCTCCACCTCTCCGTCCCGGAGGGTCTGCAAACACTCTGCACGGAATTTGGGGGCGTCGCTGAAAATGCGAAGTGGACTCGACAGACGGGCGAAGACTGCGCGTCTGTGTGGTCAGAGCGACCCCGGAGTCATCCTCCGAGCAGCCCCCCAGCCTCACAAACAGCTGACACGGTCAACATCTCTATTTATAAGAGCCATAATAAACAAAGGCCGAGGACAGTTCCCCCCAAACTCTTCATTTTTTACTGACAAAAACATTCAGTTCAGGTCTAACAACACAAATATAATGTTTGTGACAATAAAAGTGAAGCTTCCTCTGCTCACACCAGGCTTTCTATCGCATGTTGTTGCTGTAAACTTTCTATAATTGTGTTTTAGAATAGAAAAACAGAAAAAGACACCTGACTGTAAGAATTATATAAAAACCTCCAGAGGAAGTTAGTTGCTGTTTTGACACTGGATGTTAAAATGTGGCATTATACCAG